GCGTGTCACTTTGCAACCTGCGGCGCGCCCACGTTTTATTGAATAGACAGTATTCAAATAATTTTTTTCAGACAATTTCCACGAAAATTTGAGAGAAAATGATGGAAAACAGACAAAAATACGGAATGCGAAAAGTTTTGAATGCGAAACTGTTTTGAGACCCCGCCAATTCAGGGGAAAGAAAAAACCAGGGAAAAAATCGAGAAAAAGTGGGCGGAGTCGGGGGCGGAGCCTAAAATGCAACCCTGGCACTGTTTTGCCGCACGGGTTTTCTGCACATTTGGACATGGTCATGAGGGGGCGGAGCCTAAATTGCAACCCTGGCACGGTTTTTCTCGACTCCGCCCACTTTCCCCGGTTTTTTTCCCCGATTTTTTTTTCTCCGGAATTTGCGGGGTTAACAGCCTGCCGAAACGCGATCGCGCCAAAAAGCCGCCTTCAAATGGTGCGGCGGAGCGCGCCTGTATTTTCAGTGTTAAATTTCAGAGATTTTTTTTCAGATGACGATATCTCAGCCCAAACTGAATAAAAAACGATGGGACAACCTACGAATTGTAGAGAAAAATTTTCTCCGTCAGATTTTAATAGTTTTCTTTGTTAAAAATTTTCCGGCTTTGCGGTATTGTGCTTTTTCTGAAAAAAGTCCAGTTTTTCATACTTTTTTTTCTGATTTCTTTCGTTTTTCAGTGTGATAAAACAACAAAATAAAGAAATATACATTCTGAAAAGACAATCCTAAAATTCAGATGAATATTTCAAGTTTTTATGCCATATTTAGCGAGTGGAACGTCTGAAGGTGTTGTTGAAGAACCGAATCAGTTTTCGTCGATTTCCCGGAATTTCAGGCAGTTTTACCGTCTCAAAAGAGTAATTTTCGATCATTAATTACTATTTTTGAATTGATTTGGCGTAGTAGATGAAGTTTAGCTGAAACTTGAAATGTCCTATTTTCCCCTTAGAACTCGGATTGGCAAATTGTTCTCAGAAGTCCGTCAAATTCGATTCGAAATGACATGAAAAGGACGCTGTGATAAGTCAGATAAGTTTTGAGCATGTTTCTTATCGTTTCAATTCGATTTAGTCCCGGGAGAAGTCAGGCTTCTCACAGTATTTCTAAATTAACAGAATCAGGCTATTCACAACTTGTATTCGTGAAAATCTTCTTCAAACGCCTATTTTCAGTTCAGAAACATACGCATAATGTCAATCATACAAAACAAACTAGGAATCTATGAAATTTTAGCTGAAAAAGTATGAAAAACTGGACTTTTTTCAGAAAAGACACAATACCGCAAAGCCGGAAAATTTTTAACAACGAAAACTATTAAAATCTGATGGAGAAAATTTTTCTCTATAATTCGTAGGTTGTCCCATCGTTTTTTTTCAGTTTGAGCTGAGATATCGTCATCTGAAAAAATCTCTGAAATTTAACACTGAAAATACAGGCGCGTTCCGCCGCACCATTTGAAGGCGGCATTTTGGCGCGATCGCGTTTCAGCAGGCTGTGGGTCTCAACTGTTTGAGACCCCGCAAATTCCGGGGAAAAAAAAATCGGGGAAAAAAAACCGGGAAAAGTGGGCGGAGTCAGGGGCGGAGCCTAAATTGCAATGTCGCCGCACACTTTTTCCTTGATTTTTCAATGAATTAATTTTCGGTTAAAAATTGCATTCAATTTCAGATTTCAGGGGTTTAATTAAATCAATGAAGCGATTGAGATATGGAATAGTTGTAAGAATAATAAAAATTTCAGGTTCTTGACAACATTTTGAAATTTCATCAATAATAATGGATAAAAAACAGAAAATTGAATTTTTGTCAAAATCGGAACAGTGTTATGAAGAGGAATTAAACGGGGAAAATGACCCGAAAGGGTCTAAAAGACATTTTAAAGGCAAGAATATAGTACGTCTATTGTGTGAAACATATTTAATTCCAGCATTTGACGAAAGGCGTCGAGCTTTGAAAGCAGTCAACGGAGACACTGTTCACACCAGTGCTAACACTGGTCAAATTATGTTTATTGATCTGCTCACTCCTCAATCTTCTCCAATTTATGATTTCGATTCTAATAAAATGAGATCCCATGAGAATTTGATAAACTTCGAAAATACTTTATCTAGACCGGAGCCAGAGCCAACAACTTCCGGTATTCAAATATTCCAGAATCTTTTGTTCTAAAAGTTCAGTTAACCAGGTGTCAGCGGCAACAACAACACTAGCGTTCAATTGCCGGATTATTCAGAAGACGACGACGACGATTTAATTATCTACAAAAAAACTATTTCAAACCTTCATCACGATTTCCTTTTGAGTTGCCGCTTCAGAGTTGAACATGGAATGAATTTCACGAATAACGATTCCGAAAAAGTATTTTCAGCATATAAGGCAAGTCAAGATGAATGTATGGTGTTAAAAAATTTTGCAGAGACAATTTCATCACAATGAATATCAGCAAACACGCACGACTATTAGGAAAACAATTGAGTGGACAGCCTCTCTTGTTCGCGATGCTAACATGTGCCGAAATGTCCTCAACAGAAACTCTAAAGAAACGCCTCTGTTCAAAAATCAACATTTCCTTAGAGCAGTGCTATATAATCATCCGAATTTCCAGTCATTTTCCGAAAAACTATTTCCATTCATGGCATTACCAAAAGATCATCATTGAAATGTTTCTTTTCTTTTGAATATAATAAATTTTTTGTTTTTTAAATGAATTAAATCGGATTTAGATATTACAGACAAACCATTATAGCATCAAAAAACTCTGAATTCGGAATTTAAAATGCAATTTTTAACCGAAAATTAATTCATAAAAAAATCGAGGAAAAAGTGTGCGGCGACATTGCAATTTAGGCTCCGCCCCTGACTCCGCCCACTT